ATCGCTATGTTGAAAAGCATGGGGCTCAACACGCTGCCTTGAGGAACTCCTCGGTCTATTGGACGTGGTGAGCTAACAGCTTCAGGCACTTTGACGCGGATGGTTCGTCCAGAAAGGAACGCCTTGATAAAGGAAAGAATCCGTCCACCAATTCCGAGTTGCTTCAGCCGGTGGATGATGGTGAAGTGAGGGAGAGTGTCAAATGCTCGACTGATGTCAAAAAACACACAGTGTACCATCTTCCCTGTTGCTTTTGCCTCCTCGAGGGTTTACGCAATATCTCCAATGGCATCGCCGGTGCACCTTTTTGCTCGAAAGCCTGCTAGTTCTGGTGGAAACGCTTTCATCCTATCCAATAACCAGGTGAGACGGCGAAGGACCATCCGTTCAAGTAGTTTGCCTACACAACTTGTAAGTGACACTGGTCTGTAAGACGACGGCAGCGCGGCAGGTTTTCCTTGTTTGGGTATTGGGACGATAGTTGACTCCTTCCATGCGTCAGGAATGATGCCGGTTGTCCATACGAAGTTCAGTTTTTCAAGAACATCAAGGTGGTAGGCAGGATCGACGTTTCGGAGCGCTTGGTAGGTTATACCATCCGGTCCTGGAGCGCTCTTTTTGTTACACTTGTGAAGGGCTTCAGTGAGCTCCGCCAGAGTGAAATCGGATTGGCTCGCCAACATTGCCTCGTTATCTTGACCTTCGGTGAGTGGAACTGGAGGTAGTCGTCCTAACTGTTCCCGGTACTGTAACGGAGTGGATGACTGCCGCGAAAATTTGTCCGCTAATACCTCCGCCACCACTGTCATGGGCCAACCGGACTCGATTGCAAGAGCTGCAATAGGATGACGCGGAATTTTCGCGCCGGCGAGGGCTCGAGCGAGTCTCCAAGCACGTCTACCACCACCAGCACCGCCGAGCGACGCGCATCCGTGTCTCCATTGCCATCTTTGAAGTTTTTTCGTATGTCGTCTAAATTTAGCGTCGATCCGGTTGTAGCGCGTCCAGTCCCATGAGGCGTCCGTGCTAAGTGCCCTTCGCGGTGCCTGTCTTCGGGCTGCGCGGAGATTTAGCCATTCCAAGTCAGGTGCATGGCATGTAACGGGCACCGTGACAGAGCGCGTGGCAAGTCGCAGGCACTCCGCAATACAAGATGTTAAATCTTCATAGTTGCCACTTTCAATGGCGGTAGCAACATACTGACGAAATAAATCCCAGTTCGTAACCTTACAGGTTTTTACATTTTTGGGGCTTGTAGTTGGATGTGTCACTCTGATAGGCACGTGGTCACTTCCCTCTGTGTCGGGTCGAGCCGTCTATAACCCAAATATTTCGGAGGACACCAAAGTCAGGTGGATAGTAGTGGGGCTGAGCCCCTTCCTACAAAATGTGGAGGATCCATCGTTTAGAGCTCGGAGTTGAATCTCTGCCATGGTAGCCTCTAGCTGTCGTCCTCTGGCGTCCGTTCGTCTACCACCCCACGCCTCGTTGTGAGCATTAAAATCTCCGCAGATGATAAGCTGACCGCGGCTTCTCTTTTTAATCTCTTCCAGCACTTTTGTGTTCCAGACTCCGCGTGGCGTGATGTAAGCTGAAACAATCGTTGTTTCGCATCCTTTTATTCTAACAATTACGCCGGAGTACTCCTCCATGGCCGAATTCAAGTCCGAAAGGTCTATGGGGTTATGATATACATCGTCACGTACAAGTATCGCCACTCGTGACCTATGATTTGGATTTATGGGGGCACTGTGGTAGAACACATATGGAGAAAGGCGCTCTTCTCCAGGTACGACATTCGTTTCTTGAAGAGCCAAGACGTCAGTACGCTCAGTTTTCAAAGATTCGTGCATCCCTGGTAGGCGCGTGCGCAGCCCATTTACGTTCCATTGAAGAATGGAAGGAAACACTGGACTGCGCCTTTGTTGACGAGTGCTATTCTTTTGGCGAGATATTGGAGCTATTTGTCTGTTCAGGGTCTTCTGCCCATGTTGTCGCGCATTTGCGTTACTTGGTCCCCCTAGCATGCCCCCAGAAAGGGAAGCATTGCCTGCAAAATTGTAACAATTGCCCGGGCCCACGAGGCTTCAAATTTAGACAATATTGCCAGGGATATGTTTACAACTGTCTCGATAATGGAGACCCAGGCGGGTGTTGTTGCGATGGGTAAGCCTGAAGTCTCGTCGCTTTCTTTCCTTTCAGTGCTTCGTTTTGTTGCTTGACGCCTTGGAAGCGCCTGCGAGGAAGGTTGCTGCGGGGACGACGTTGGCCTTTCATCACTTGGGACATCATTCGGTGGTACTTTGTTGATAACGGTTTTTTTCTGGCAGTCCTCAGCTACGACAGAAGCGTAGCTTTTGGCGCCTGCATTAGAGATCGTTGGCTCTGATTCGTCTTGCATTATGATCTCAGCGGTGCCAGTTTTTTGTCTCTTTTGGGGATCTAAGGCTGACTTCGCTTCGCGGAATCCCACTGAATTCTTCTTGGAGTACACTATAATGTCACGCTCTTTATTCCATTTTGGACAGTCATGTGATGTGGCTTGGTGCTTTCCACTGCAGTTGGCGCATTTCAATGTGGTGGACTGACATTCAGCGCCCGTCCCGTCATGGTGTTGCCCACAACGGCAGCAGGCCTTCGGACGTTGGCAGGCGATTTTCTTATGGCCAAATCCGTTACAATTGTGACATTGTAACGGTCTGTCTGTGAACGGTGAGACTGGATAACGAACGTGCCCTAGAAGCACGTAGCTTGGCAGCTTAGTGCTGGTGAAAGTGACCTTCACGACGCGGGAGCGTCCAAGTCTCCGAACGTTGGCAATCTTGCAGCATGCGTCTTCAGCGCGAAGATTGCGCGCAATATCGTCTTCTGTGATTTCAACATTGACGCCTTGGACGACACCATACGAAATGGGCCCTGACAGTGGGGAGTAGGCTCTTACTGGAACACCGCAGAGCATTGCAGTGTTCAGTAGAGTTTTCGCTGGCTGCCCGTTGCGAACATCAACAGCGATCAGGTTCAGCCGATCGTTGGGGCGCACTTGGATGATGCACTCTTGGCAGAGCTTCTCAAGGGCTTCGGAAATTTTCAGGCTGTTGAGCGCTGTAAGTCTAGTCTCTTCTTTCACAGGAACAAAGATGACAGTGAGGCTGGTGTTATCTTGCTTCTTTGGTTGTTGCGGAACGTCTGGAGACGAGTCGCTGTTCTTTGGACGACAGCGCTTTCTGCCGGATCTGCGCCATTCGCCTCCGGAATCTTCGCTCTCCATGTTGGCGGTCTCTGAGCAGACAGATCGACTGCAGTCCTGGGATTCATCGAGTGCGCTGCTGGCCTGGTGTTGTGCTGCCGTGATGGATATGTTGTTTTCGGAAAGAGACATACCAGCATGCATCCCTTTTCTTGCTGTGCAGGGAGCTGCCCTAGCTCCTGCCGTCCGAGTAGACCCCCAAAGTCCAAGGGACCGACGAAGTCGCGTAGAATAGCAAATTCCAGAGATAGAAGCTTTTGCGTTCCGGCTCAGATCACTTCGTCGTCTTTCGAGAGTCTAAACGTCTTTGATTCTATGGGAATCGCGATACGTACGTTTCGAAGCACGGCGTCTAGATGGCGCTTCAGCTCCGCTTTATGCAGAGCCGTATATTGGGAGAGTTTGGCCAATAGGCGGAGCAAAGGCCGCCGCCAGCGCCGAATATTCCTCCCGCGCTTAGAGCGTAAACTAAAATTGTGACACAGCGTCGACCAATCAGGAGACCGCGACGTCACAATATTGCAAACGACATTCAAAGCGTGAAATAGAAGCGTTCAATCTCGGCCTCTCTACCTCTCTACTCCATCTCACAAATGTCTGCAGTAAAGACAAAGGCACAGGCGCGCGAGCCTAGTTCAGCAAAACGCTTTTGTCTGTACTAGAACTCGTGCATAGGAGGCACGTTCCAAAGCCACGCGCCCGTGCCCATGCCTTTGTCTGCACTGCTGATGTTTGTGACAGTTCGCTCTGGGGCCGGCTTGCTAGAACAGCGTCTAAGCTGATTCTGGCTGAAAAAAAGAAAGAAAAACAATGGTGGGGCGCGCGAGCGTCTTGAGACGCGGAGTCCCGCTCGGTTGGAGAAAGAAGAAGCTGCCGAACAGTTGGGACGCATTTTTCTTGCTCTTAACCTATGGCCCCTGAATTTCCTTTCGGGGGACATGGCGAATCCTGTCCAGTTCCCGGAACTCACCCCACAAGCTGGGCCTTCGACGGAAGAAGGTCCTCCGCCTTTTGCAAGCCAGGCAAATGAGGCTAATTTCAGTAATATTGTAGCACCTGACGCAGCCCAGGCCAGAGAGCCGAGGATCGGGCTGTGGTCCGAAATCATGGAGGTTACCGAGAATACGGAAATCTCCGAAGACCACGGAAACAGGTGTACACTACAAGAGGCTCGGACTCAGCCATCTTCAAGCAATTTAGAATTGTCGGCAGAGACCGGGATCAGAAGATTGCTCGAGGGATTACCCCACGAGCTTCAACTACAAATTCTCTAGAAGCTTCACATAGAGAAGCATAGCTAGAATACGAGCAAACCCAAGAAAAAGAAGAAATCAAAGAAAACCGAGGGTGCTACCCAAGGTCACGTTAGCGTGGCTACGAACCAAGGCCGTCCAGGTCAAGGAACGCAAGCAGCGCCGCTACCCAATACGAAGCCATCAGGTGATGCCGGCGGGCGCCTCGTCGACACCGACGGTGCAACACCTGCAGATGGAGGCCTGACGTCATTCAGGGAAGTTGCGGAGATGATGGCGCAAGATTTTGCGCACCGCCAAGCACCGCTAGAAGGAAAAAACGGAGGAAGACACCGGAGATCCGTGGAAACACGTCACAAACAAGAGCGCCTAAGCGATGTCGCGAATAGCCTGCGTAGGTACTGAAACCACCAAACAAGACCTTCAATCGATTCTTTGAACTGAAAGTGAGACTTTCCAGAAGCCAGACTTCGATCAAGCCATACCTCCAGTCATTCAAGATGCAGTGCTGTAAATACCTGCCTGACAAGAAAGTCGCACTCACACTCCACCTTCTAGAAAACGCCAACATCATTTCGATTCGTACTGACTCCGAGGAAGTGGCCCGCCACATCCAAGAAATCAAAACGATCCAAGCAGAAGACCTCAAGGAGCTCCCCGTGCAAGTGTTTCGCACGTACGGCAATACGTATGTCAAGGGGGTCATTTATGACCTTTTCCCCTTAGCCCAAGACAGAGACGACCACACTCTAAACAACCAACTAGAATCAAATAAGATCGAGATCGTTGCCGCGCGCCGGCTTGGCAAGACCAACACGGCAATTATCACCTTTGATGGTAATCACCTGCCGCGGTCGATCCTATACGGGAATATTTACAAGCGGGTTTTCTCATACAAACCTAAAGCGGTGGTGTGCGCCAACTGCCACTGCCTCGGCCATAAGGAGGACATCTGCCACAATTTAGGGGTATGTACGACGTGTGGCCAGGCGAAACATGCGATGGTTCTCGTCCTTGACACTGGAGGGATGCAATGCGCTAGAGACACACCCTTCTGTCAGGGATGCAAGAAAGCTGGACACTTGGCAACCAGCAACAGCTGTCCCATAAGGAAAGCAACCAACAAGAAGATGCGAGCAGCGATTTCGCAAGCAGCATCAACAGCAAACCCATCTGCACCCCGGCCCGCGGGATCGACTGATTAAGATTCCAGTACCCCCGAGTGGAAGAAGTTGGGCAGATGGAGTAAAGAACGGGAGGCAGTCTTCTGGATTCCTCGAAGCCCGATGGGGCAGCACCACCAGACTTCAGGAACCTCTATCTCTACCTCCGAGCAGAGACGGATGCCATTGCGAAGCACACTGAAGAACAACAAGAAAGGCAAGCACGGAATACCGCCGTACTACAAGCCTTGCGAGCATTCATTAAATGATAAAAGTCCTGCAATAGAATTGTCGGGGGCTCCGAAGCAGGGCGACGGAGCTCAAGGCAAGGTACGTAGACAGACCACCAGGGCCCGTTTGCTCGAAGCGCTAACCGCGGCTAGGGTGCCTACATGTCTGTCTGTCTCAGGGTGAAGACATCCATTGTTGCCTTGAATGTGCCAGCGCGTGACGCTCTCGCGCACCTCGGTGCGTGACTTGGGCGGTGAAATGGCGTCTATGCATTAGCCAAAGCTACGCGCTCGAGCGAGTGACACCGGATTGCGCGCACTTCAAAATGCATACAAAAAACGATTGGGCGGAAAAATGGCTGAGATGTCACCACTCAAGCAAAAGCGCGCGTGTGTATGAAGGCACTCTAACCGCGGCTAAAGTTAGCCGCAGTACCTAGGAGAGGGATTTTGAGATCACGTGACTGGCTCGGTAGGGATGCGGGGAAACATGGCGGTGCCCCAGTCAGTGAGCGCCGGTCGCTTTGGAACTACGTCGTTGTACCTGCAATATAGGGCGCGTTAGTCAGCAACGAATAATGCAGGAGGCTTTCGCTTTGCCTTACCTCACTTAAACCGCAAAGCATGGGCAATGACATCGCCGCATTTTTCAGATAGTGTTTCGATTCTGGGCATTCCTAAGCCTCAATGAGCGCGATAATTGTCGGCATGGCAACGTCTTTGGAAAGCGCATTGTTGATAGCACACAAAAGCAGACAGCGTCCTGACAGAATGATGAAAATAATCCCTGGAGAAGGGGAACAAGAGGGACAAAGGACAAACACAAATCTCCGAACACAGCTAGGTGACCGGTGAGCGACCGAAAAAATCCGCCTGGTCCGGGTATCGAACCCGGGACCTCTCCATTACAGGTGGAGCGCTCTAGCAACTGAGCTAACCAGGGGTTAGACGTCAGTAGAGCAAACGGGTTTTATCAGCCGCCACCAGTCTAATACCAACAAGGGTGAAGCTTGCAATTTAAGGTTATTATTAGAATGCAAATTAAATGCAAAGGTGCAAGCGAGCTGGACAAGAATGATGAAAATAATCCCTGGAGATGGGGAACAAGAGGGACAAAGGACAAACACAAATCTCCGAACACAGCTAGGTGACCGGTGAGCGACCGAAAAAATCCGCCTGGTCCGGGTATCGAACCCGGGACCTCTCCATTACAGGTGGAGCGCTCTACCAACTGAGCTAACCAGGGGTTAGACGTCAGTAGAGCAAACGGGTTTTATCAGCTGTAATGGAGAGGTCCCGGGTTCGATACCCCGGACCAGGCGGATTTTTTCGGTCGCTCACCGGTCACCTAGCTGTGTTCAGAGATTTGTGTTTGTCCTTTGTCCCTCTTGTTCCCCTTCTCCAGGGATTATTTTCATCATTCTTGTCCAGCTCGCTTGCACCTTTGCATTTAATTTGCATTCTAATAATAACCTTAAATTGCAAGCTTGAGACTGGTGGCGGCTGATAAAACCCGTTTGCTCTACTGACGTCTAACCCCTGGTTAGCTCAGTTGGTAGAGCGCTCCACCTGTAATGGAGAGGTCCCGGGTTCGATACCCAGACCAGGCGGATTTTTTCGGTCGCTCACCGGTCACTTAGCTGTGTTCGGAGATTTGTGTTTGTCCTTTGTCCCTCTTGTTCCCCTTCTCCAGGTATTATTTTCATCGTTCTTGTCCAGCTCGCTTGCACCTTTGCATTTAATTTGCATTCTAATAATAACCTTAAATTGCAAGCTTCACCCTTGTTGGTGTTAGACTGGTGGCGGCTGATAAAACCCGTTTGCTCTACTGACGTCTAACCCCTGGTTAGCTCAGTTGGTAGAGCGCTCCACCTGTAATGGAGAGGTCCCGGGTTCGATACCCGGACCAGGCGGATTTTTTCGGTCGCTCACCGGTCACCCAGCTGTGTTCGGAGATTTGTGTTTGTCCTTTGTCCCTCTTGTTCCCCTTCTCCAGGGATTATTTTCATCATTCTTGCCCAGCTCGCTTGCACCTTTGCATTTAATTTGCATGCTAATAAAGTCCTGACAGACTTTTTTCTAAATTATCCAAGCATCGCTAGGAGAACGCTGGAAGTGTAATTCTACAGTTCACGCGCGCTGGCCTTCCTCTTATAAAAGATTTGAAGTAAAAAATTAGAATAAGGCTTTAACGAACGCGCGTGCAAGGCAAAATTTGTTTTATACTTTTTTGCTTTAGAACGGTTACTACTGCAGACGCCAGCACGTGCGACGCGTGCAACTACAGTCGTAGCATGCACTTCGGTGCTTGGATAATTTAGAAAAAAGGTCTGTTGGGACGCCGTCTGCTTTTGCGTGCTATCAACAATCCGATTTCCAAAGACGTTGCTATGCCGACAATTATCGCGTTCATTTAGGCTTAAGAATGCCCAGAATCGAAACACTATCTAAAAAATGCGGCGATGTCATTGCCCATGCTTTGCGGTTTAAGTGTGATAAGGCAAAGCGAAAGCCTTCTGCACCATTCGATGCTGACTAACGCGCCCGATATTGCAACCACAACGACACATTAGTTCCAAAGCGAGCGGCGCTCACTCACTGGGGCACCGCCATGTTTCCCCGCATCCCTACCGAGCCAGTCACGTGATCTCAAAATCCCTCTCCTAGGTACTGCGGCTAACTTTAGCCGCGGTTAGTGCTTCGAGCAAACGGGCCCAGAACGCTCTGACATCCTGCTGTTGCAAGAGACGAACACAACAAACATTGTATCCAAGGGTACGAATCATACTCAATTCTATCGATACCAGGGCGGACGAACGGACTCCTCGTTGACCCTTCCGGGATGGCCATGGTGTACGTTCGCCAGGACTGGCATCGGCACCAAATAAACACTACAAAGTTTTGCACTGAGAATCAGGAGGTGGTTGCCATCAGGGTATCGTACCAGCTCCAAAACCTGGTAGTCGTCTCGGCGTACTACAGACCAAGGCGAGGAGGTACTCCACAAGACTACGGCTGAGTGGCCTATCTGCACAACTTGTACCCACGGGACCACAAGTTGTACGAAGAATATTTCAACGCGCAGCACACTCTTTGGGGTTACGCAAGCAGCGGAGGCGGAGCGGAAAAGCTCATCGAAGAGATGAGCAACTACCAGATGCATCTAACTAACAAAAAAGGAATCAAGACGAGGATCGGTGGCTTCGGCCAGAAGGACACTACCCCGGACCTTACTTGGGTAGCAAATCCTTACATACAACATCACAAATGGAAGTGCCTTCCAGACAACTGGGGGAGCGATCATTTTCCAATCACTTTTCAATTTTCGTTGACTCGGATGGCACGCAATGGGCCAGCGCAGAAACGACAAGTTAAGACAATATACTGGGATAAGTTCAGGCAAACATTGAAGGACGAGACTATGGTGGCCACCCCCTAGATCTAAGACTTCGCGCCCTAGTGAAAAAGCTATATGAATTTATTTCTGATATGTTTATTGGACAACTTTTCATATCAGAACTTATTATTTCATATCAGTTTCATATGGCGCATATCAGTTACACTGGGCTAGGTGGCGCTAGGTACCGCCATATTCATGTACTACAAAAATAATTTTATTTATTCACGCCACCATGTAGATGCATACCGCATACCACTAGCATCAGCTGATACACATACACGGCACAACAAACATGAATACAACAGCACACCTAATAACTACTTCTGAGCTCTGCGTTTCAGCCTTTTATACAGGTCGTTTTCTAAGTACGGAGTTTTTCGGTGACCACCTAAGCAATAAATAATATTCTCAACGTGTTGAATTTTTTTTTTCAGTGATGTCATACCCCTGCGGTTCCAAGCCACGTTTTGTTTGCCCGCGCGACACGTCGTATGCCAAAAAAAAAAAAAGAATATATGAATTTATTTTTGAATTGTTTATTGGACACATTCATATCAGTTGGCACATGCTGTATATCAGTTCTTACATGCCGCATATTAGTTTTGGGGTATTTCATATCAGTTTCATATGCCGTATATCAGTGTTTGGATATTTCATATCAGTTTCATATGTCGCATATCAGTTTTTGGATGTTTCATATCAGTTTTTATATGAATTCAGATAATTTTTTTCAGTAGGGCGGTGCGCCATTGAAAAGGCCACAATCAAGACCAAAGTGGATGAAGATGCGCCTACACCCGATTTGGGCCTGCTGCAGCTCTGGGGGGCTATGTTGCGCTTTTTGCACTCCCAGGAGACTAGGGAGAAGGAAGTGACGTCAACAACGCAGCAAATGCAGATTGGATGTTGATTTCGTTTTCTTCTGTCAACATCCAATCTGCGTTTGCTCTAGTCGTTGACGTCATTTCCTTCTTCCAAGTCTCCTGGGAGTCCAAAAGCGCAACATAGCACCCCTGGGCTCACCGCCTGCGAGCGGTGCAGACTTACAGAAAGGGACCACGCACTCCAATCAAAAGACGCAACATTACGCGAGCGACGGTTGGGGCTAAAGTCTACGCCCAGAAGCTTGGGCTCCAGCGGTGGTTAGATTACAGCTCGACGCTTTCCGAGAAGACGTCAGTGGCTCGACTCTGGGCCACCAGCCGCTCCATGCTTGGAAAAAAGAGGACAAAGGCTGCTACCGCCACCCTTGCACTCAAGATGGGAAAGACGGAAGAGGAGCTGACGGTCATGGCGGGGGACTTGTTCTTTCCGCAACCGGCGGCCGACTCCTCTGACTATGACTCCTACGCGCAAGAAGTGCTTGCACCAGACTCAAATCTGGACAGACCATTCACAAGGGGAGAGCTGGA